TATATATCATGTTTGTATGTATACATATATATACTTTTTTTTACATAAACTTAAAAATTCCCTGTGTGTTTAAATCTTTCTTGACAAGGTGATTAAAGAAAATCGCTAACAAAGAAATAAAAATTATAATGTACAGTCGTTTATTGTAGAGACAATTTATGAGAAATCGGTAGACCAACATGTGTTTCAAAATATCGCACCTCACTCATGTACAAAAATGTCAATACAAAGAAAATATAGGCTATGTACGAGTAAAAGAGGCACTGTGGTGTGGCTGGGAACGTACTCACAACTGTTAATTTTTGGAAAGTATGAATCTTTACAAACTGATAATCTTTTATACACTGAAATTTAAGGTGTTAGAATTTCTGAAACAACAAAATTTAATATGATTTTGTAAATAAAAGTAAAAGCATATAAACCAACAAACATACTATATATAGATCTATATCGCTTCCTGAATTCTTCTTAGTCAACATTATTCCAAACAGCAAATTACAACTAAACGCAACAACTGCAAGTTCTAAGAAGACATCACCATCATAACAGTAACCCCACCACCACCCTCCCCTTCAGACACACACCCGCCTTACACATAATCAACTTCAACTGTCACAGACAAAAATTACAGCAACAACTACAGGAACGGATCAGCAATGATATCAAAAACAACATTATCACCACTGTCGTCATCACCACCACCACCATCCCCACCACCATCCCCACCACCACGACAACAACAACAGCGACAACAACAATAAAATGATTGCACCCAAATAAACAACAACAACAACAGCAACAACAATAACAACAATAACGACACACTAAATGTCTACAAAGACAACAGCAGAGGGTAACCAAATGAACGCGGCCAGAAACAAAAACAATATTTAACAATATTACGATCACCGACAACAAGAACAAGAACATCAGAAACAAAAACAACAACAACAACAACAACAACAACAACAACAACAACAACAAAGAACAGCGAGTCTTACCCACAAGGCACATCAACAGATCGCATAGGTTGAGCGCCATGACGAAAATGTTGGTAGGACTCCTCAGTCGCTTGTTCTTGGCGAAGACGAATAGACAGAGCCCGTTCACAAAGGATCCCAACACGAATGTTAACGTTAACATGAAGGCAATAAAAGAGAAGCCGGCGTCGCTGAGCTCCACGAAGTGAGTGTCCGAGCTGCTACTGCTGTTACCCAAGGAGTCGCCATGCTGTTCAGGACCACCAGATCTAACAGTTGATGCTTCCAGGAGGATGTCAGGTTCGGCGGCCGTTGTCATGGTGAGATGCCACTGGACGTACACTAAACGAACACGGGATGTATTGGTGGACATACAGAGAAACCCTCAAGCCGGTCAATCAAAGGACAAGTGCAAAAACAATGGCTCATCTTTCACGATGTTTTCCCATTCCACTTCTTGGAGATATTATTATTTCCCAGAAATCAATAACTGTTTAGTTGGTCTGAGTTCAACGACTTGTTTGACATAAAAAGGTCATTTTTTGAACGCAAGAAAATATCAGATTTCTTCAACAACACTCTGCTTATCAGAACATCTCGTAAAACTGTTTTCTTTTTTTCCCTCACAATCTTACCGGAATAATCGAAGGTAAAAAATCTTCATATCATTTTCTATCACGGTTATCAGAAGTTGTGTCGTCAGATACGTGATAACTCGGTTGCTGTACAGTGCCAGAAAATCAATGAATTCTTCTCGAGAAGCCCTCAGCGTTGATGAAACGAAGCAATCTGGAGTATAAATCCTCTGGATGTCTGTAGATATAAAAAAGAAAAGAAAACAATATCGTTTAGTTCGTTATTATTTATTAACGTTATTTTGCCTTAGTGTATGTGTTGAACTTGCTTCAGATCTATGGAGTAGCTTTGATGTCGCATGCAAGAAACCCGAGTTCGATTTCTGAGTGTAAAGAATTGTTTTTAACGAATATCCTAGTATTTTCACTGGAATGATGTATCCCTCTCAGCCCCGGTTAGCCCAGACAGGCAGGGTCAAAAACTCGCCTCTAAAATGACCTAAACTGTGTGGTTATGGGCGTGAAAAACACCTAACACATAAACTAAAGAAAAAAAATTAAGAGCTGGCGATAAAGGCGAAGTATAACTTTTCCTAGTGGGAAAAGACATTATATAATCATTCGTATAAGAAAGCAAATTCAATGAAGAATTTAAGACTGTTTTCTGATGAAAAAAACATTAAGCATAAATCTGTAAATATTCTATTTCGTTCCAAAGTGTCGGGTTGTTGAGGGGAATGCATGTCGTTGACACGAAATTTTTACATTTTCTTAGTTCTCGTCATGTTATTTATCCTGCTTCCTTTCTATCGATCTTTGCCTCCCACGCCCATCAATCCCCCCCCCCC